TACGTTATCATCTTGCTATATTCTCTTGGTTGCACCCCTAGAAAATATCCATGTTTCGTCTAAATATATAAAATTCGCTCTTTCTTCTTTAAATTTAGAATATTTTCTTAGAAAGTTAATTATCTTGTGCACGACAGAACTTCTTTTACAAAGGGTCTTTCTGTTATCCTCCTTTTGAAATTTGAAACCCAAGTTATGTATCACTTGCCATATGTGTTCTGCCAATGTCGTCAAATTTTCTATCTATTAATTCCGAGAGAATTGTATTTAAGGTCACATGTTCCTTGTTGGCCCTCATTCGATAAATGGTATCACGAATTTTAAATTTCTTTCCATCTGGAATATCTTTCGTTTTCAATGATGGGCGAGTTTTGCGGTGATCTTCTTTCGGCAGTTCACTATTGTGATTTTGTAATACTCCTCTTAATTTGGTTTCACTAATTCCTAGAGCATCGCATTCGCGTTGTTGTACAGACATTACCGATTTTAAAGGACCGCCATTTTCTTTTTCATCCATAAAATACTTATGTACACTACAAATTAGACTATCTACATCTAACACACGTCTAGCCATTTTTAAAACTCCCACTAAATTTACAATATACAATGTCAACACTTGCAAAGAATCAATTCAACTGCAATATTTGTAACAAATTTAGTACCTACCCTAATGTTGTTTTAATTTAAATCTGACCATTAGGGCAATTTTACCTAATTTCTTGGGAAGAGGCTTATTGGAACTGATTGTCAATGACTAATTTGCATAATTTTGTTAATCCGAAACCCGCGTAAGTATAGCGAACAGACTGTAACTAACCATGTTGTCTTATTTAACGTTGCTGCAATCTATGCAACACCAATCCATCACTTTCAATTTATGGTTTTTTCGAATACTGACAGCTGGATTGCAGGAAATGAGGAGTTAATTATTTATTTGTTCTGTTTGGGGAAACACCGAAATAATAGTTTTTTAGAAAAAGATACTTTTAAATTAAGGTGCATTCAAATAAAATTATTTGAAACACAAATTTAAATTCAAGCTGTTAACTGTTATTTCTTTTAATGATCAACCACAAATAAAACGAATTCAACGCAAGGAGTTCAAGGTAGCATCGATGAAATGGCGATTCTAACAACTTGATGGAAAAAAGAAACACGTTATTCTATTTCACTCGCTTGAAAGAAGTGTGATAAAGACCACAGTTGACCATAATCTTTGGTGGAAACTATCTAGAGAACAGGGTTGCCAATCTGTGAGTAATTCCTCACATTTGTGAGTAATTTACTAGTATGTGAGTAAAGGGCAATTGTGAGTAACATGTGAGTAATCGGGAAGTAAGCGTGGGTATATTCGTGGTGGTTAGGCAAAATCCTGATCGGATAATTTATTGAAACCGTGTTCTTTTTAAAAATTTTAATATAAGCCTTATTTTATCCCCCTAGCACTTTTAGCAGTCATTACAATTTTATAGTTTTAAAATTGCAACGTCCTCTATTGCTTGGTCAATGTAATAGAGTAAAAGTAATTTTGATATTTTGCAACACTAGGAGCGCGTTCAGGAAACACTCTCCGACCAAAAAGAGCGCGATCAATTTGGTCTTGGTTCGTTCAAGAACAGTCGAGCGTTCAATTTGAACGTTTAGCTACTCTCGTTCAGAAAATCGAGTCAAATTAGTCTGGAGTGCACTCTTTTTTACCCAGTTTAGACTGGGTACATTTGAGTAAATTTGACAGAACATAGAGTTCTTTTGTAGAAGTTGCTGTTTCATATTATTTTTGTGTGTCATAAAGGTGTTTGTACATGGCATTTTATAAGGTTAAGTTCAGTAATCTATGGTTAAGTTTGTTTTAAAATAAACAATCTAAAATTTCTTGTCTTATTGACTTTATAGATCATTCATTATAATCTCGATTGTAAATAGGGCTGTAAATAGGTAAATATTGTAATAAAAAGAAAAAACAACTAAACAAAAATTAAAAAATAAAAACTATACGAAACACGAGTAACAACGAGAAGCGAGGAACATCAAACATTATATAAGGGAATAAAATGTCTGTAAACAAATAACTGTAAAAAACTTTAATTTTCAAATTCGTTGACGTTTACTTTCGTCGCCGTTCAGAAATATTGGGCAATTGAGAATTACTCTAGAGTAGTCTGGGCAAACGATCTAAGAAAATTAGTCTACTCCCGTGTAAAATCATCTGAACGCGCTCAAGGTGTCGTTTCGATAGTGATAGTCCCATTGGGACTGTCCCAACCGTCGATTAATATCTTTTTTTTTTGTTAGTTTTAAAAGTATATTTTTTTATTAGTAGATTTTTTTTTAAGTATTAGAATTAATGATTTATTATGATTTGGTCCGTTAATAAAGAAGCTACTCTGATTCTCCAATCCTTTTTATCTGTGTTTTTTGTTCAGCTGATGACAAAGATGTTTTATATACAGGGTGATTCATAACTATTGGGACATAGGCTAAGGGCAGGTTATTTGTATCAAAATATGGCGATAGGGCCAAATATACCTTAATAAAATATTGCTGTGGAATAAGATACAAGGCGTTAAATAATAATAATAGTAATAATAATAAACTATAATCTAACAGCAAATTATTTGACACTGCAAAGCAAACTTTTCATAAATGAAATATTTTGTGAGTTGTTCAATTGCGTTTTTCTCGAAAACGGGTGAAATTTTCTAATCAAAAATACTAAAAAGTTTCGTAAAAAAAGTTACCACTTAATTTCATCATCAGGATTCATTCACGTGGCGCCTCCTGTAACAAAATATGAAATAATACATAAAATATTATTCCTTGTCGAAAAATATGCCTTTGTGCCAATTTTGATATCAATTCATAAATATACAGTGACATCAGAAAAAAACAAATTCCACAGCAATATTTTATTAAGGTATATTTGGTCCTATCGCCATATTTTTGTCCTAATAACCTGCCTTAGCCTATGTCCCAATAGCTATGAATCAACCTGTATATTACTTTGTTATTAAATTAGTGAATGCACAGAAAAAAGGTGCATCTGTTTTGACTCTTGTATGTTTGGCAACATTGCACAGTAGTAAAATAAATTCAAACCAAAGTGCAAGAGTACAAAATATAAGATTTATATAAAAAAACTAGTAATATTAATATTTTGAAGTTGTGAGTAATTGTGAGTAATCCGGAAAAGTTTTTGAGAGTAAATCGGTAAAGACCGGTTGGCAACCCTGCTAGAGAAGCATATGTAACTCAAAGAAACATTTGTTTTACTGCTCCTGTTACACAGCAAAATGTACATGTATATGTTCACAGGATTGGTCAATACTGATATGGTCTCCGCACTTACGCCCGTATGCACTGTACACGTTTAATCCAGATCAAGGGTTTAATCGCGTTTAGTACCATAGCTAAAAAAATGGTACTAAACGTGATTAAACCCTTAATCCGGATTAAACGTGTACGGTGCATACGGGCGTTAGTAATTTGTTTTAGTAGTTCAGATGTAGACGCTTCGTCTTGCATACATTCCTTTGAGGTGTTTTTTCGCCAAAATGGCTTTGGTCTTTTGGTTTTAATTATATTTTAAAGAAGTGTTTTTTACAATGCAGTTTGCTAGTGTATGGAGCTGCTGAAAAAAATCTCGGCAAGCATATATTTACAGTTTCCAGACTATTGTACGTTTGTATCAACTCAACTGGACCGGTGCATATAATTGAACAGTTAATGGAGAAAATAAACAATCGTAACTTAATTTCCAGAGTACAGGAGCCCAATTCCTGAAACTGTGCGCTGAACGCCGCATTCGGTTAGCGACGCATGGTCGCCATCGCATGCGACGGAAAATTTGTTAGGTTAGTTTCATGTTGCATGGTGTAGCGAAGAGTCTTTGATTATTACAGCAGACGAATCATTTTCAACCAATCAAATTTCAGAACAATATAAAAAAACTGTAATAACGGCTAAAAAATGTCAAAAAAACTAACCTGTGTGAGTGTTAAATTAGTAGTTTCTATCATTAAAATAAATTTGGGTAGGTATTTGAAAATGGAGATTGAGAATGAACCGAAATTAGCAGAATATTGTTATAAACTATCTGGTAACAAAAATGCATCCAACCACCCGGTGTGAGAGGTTGTAGTTCTGTATCTAATAGTGCCTCTTTATTATTTTGTATTAATTGTATAAGGACAAATTCCTCTATATCGTTCATTTTATAAAAAATGTACACTTATATGTAGGCGATCTTTAAATTTAAGGAATACTCGCCCTGTATATGACGCTAATTGCCGATAGCAATAGGAGTTGTCTAATGTTCCAAGTATTGTAAACGGCTGAATCACCGAATGATTCTTTTGGGGTTTTTGTTAGAAAATGATTTGTGTTGGGTTAGTTGATTATAAACCGTTGCTTCGATCAGACCTGAGTTTTATTTTAGTATATTTATTTCAGTATAAATATTTATTACAAATTATTACAGTCGATTACATATAAATAGTATGACTATAACGAAGTTAATGACTAATGAACATTTGGTAATAAAAAAACTAGGACGAATAATTATATTTTATATTAGATCTGTGACAGTGACAAGTAACATGCTTGGATATCCATAGTTACCGCATGCGAGATAAGGTTGTCGAATGGTCAAGATGGTTCGTTGCAAATCATTCGCCAAGCGAAGCATGCGGGATCACTCGCATACGGCAAAGGCTTTCAAGAATACCATTTTTCTACTCGCATACGTAACCGCATGCGAGACGATGACAAACGCGGTCGGGAATTAGGCCCCATGATTCTTTACAAAATTAAAATTTAAGAATTTAATGTTAAAATTGGTTTCATTTACTCCATTTGACATCATGCACTCTTGGTACTTATTAAATATACATTTTAACTAAATTGTTGGGAAATTCGTTTGGAGAGATTTCAAATGAAACAAATATGTAAATTACAAAAATATATTAAAAATAAAATTAATATGTATATATAAAATAGTTTTATCATTTCTTTTTGGTATTCCTGGAAGTCACAGTGTGATTGGACTTCACCGTTCCCACAGAATGATTGGAACGTACAGATCCCACGGAATGATTGGACTTCACCGACTGAACGGACTTGACAGATTTAACAGATTGTTCAGATTTGGTAGATTTCACGGACGCCACCGATTTTACAGATTGTACAGATTTAACGCTTCTACTAGTATCTGGTACCATGGCTGAACCGTCTCCTCCGCCTCGCATTCTGCAACAGACCTTGGGACTTCTATCACCCATGGCCACGTCGCACACGCACGGTGCGACTTTGACGCAACTTCTGACCGTAGGCAGATCTCGAATGTGTTCTTCTTCGGGCTGGCCCTCAACTACAACAATCATTAGAGGAAATACATGATAATTTGTTCTCTTCGCATCTGAAAGTAAATCGTACCTGGTTCTGGTTCCTCACGAACTGTTTCAAGACATTTAATAGATGGTACAGGCTCTTTTTCGTCTATAGGTGCTTTCCAAAGAAAGATGCAACCAGAAGCGTCGCAGGTGACTATGTGTTTTCCATCTCCGCTGAAACGGGTGCAGGTTACAGCGCCTGCGTGGCCTACTCCTATATGAGTAGCAATTCCTATAAGAGAAGAAGAAAGTACATTTATCTGACGGCTACAATAATTCCTTATACTGCAAAATATATGTATTTGTTAAAAATACAAGGCATTTTTAATAGTAAAAGTAAATAAAAAATAATTTATGTACGGCACTGTTCGTCACCAACTCAATTAATTATATCAATCCAAAATTCTCAAATGCATATCCAATGTGATCATTTTAAATAGTAACACAATATCCCATAAAGGGATTTTATTAAGAAGCGTGAGATTGATTTTAGTCCAAGAGCTAGTAACACAAATTTTATTAAGTGTTTGATGCACTTTGAAATTTTGTAATTTGAAATCATTTGAATGGAAAATCAGATATACCTGTGTTGGCTAGACCCACCTCGGGACACCAGGTACTGTGCATAATCGAAAGGGGTCGTAAAATATGACCCAAAAAAAGTGTTTGATTCAGAGGCCAACAAACAACAATTGAAAGTTTAGGTAATTCTAAAAATACTAGTAATTTAGGCAGACACTTTTGAGAGAATTTATAATTAATAAATCAACCCCAAAGTTGATTACTAGCCACCACAGGTATATCTGCTTTTCCATCCAAATGATTTCAAATTACAAAATTTCAAAGTGCATCAAACACTTAATGAAATTTGTGTTACTAGCTCTCCGACTATTTTGAGTATTAATGACTCCCTCTTACTAAACATTTACCTTCTTGATATGTCCAAACTTTTATGATTTGATCATTTCCACCGCTTACAAATTTCAAGCCGTCTGGTGATATATCTAAAGCGTTAATAGCTCCAGATGGAGATCCTTCCAATTCTCTCACCAAGCTTCCATCTAGCACTTCCCAGTACGACAGTTTTCGATCAGATCCACCTAAATGATGCTAAATTAATATAAATCAACCTATTTTCAATTAGTTAACATGGTAAACAGTATAATAGACAATAACAATCAGAAAGAGATTCTGGGAGGGAAAAAACATTACGCTTTTTACAAACAAAACGTATTTCATTTTTTTTATGCCATCAAAACAAATAAATCTTTTAAGCAAAGCTATGTTAAGGTATTTTAAGGTAAGTAATCGGATTTAGCCAAATATAATGCTATATAAAAACAATTAAAAAAAAAAACACGCTCCAAGCTCACACAATTGTAAAAAAACAATTCGCCTACGTATTGTGACAAATGACAGCAACAGGAAAATGAATTTGAATTGCGAATGATTGTTACTTATATTGTTTTTTGTCTTCTATTTTTGTAACAAGCTGTACCTGTCAATAATTGTACACCACTGGGAAAGTATTTAACGCACATAAACAATGTGTTGGCGAACAAAATAGATCGTCTGCATTGTCTGCGTAAATCCCAGAGGATGCAGGTACCGTCGGCGCTTGCGCTTGCCGCTTCGGTGTCATCAATGTTGGTGTCAATGGCGGATACTGGACCTTTGTGCTCTTTTAGAGTACAGATTAGCTGTTGCTTGCAAGGCGAAACGTCCCATAACCTGAAAATTTTCCATTTGAAACTAATACAATAAAAGATACCGTGGATAATAGAAGCTGAAAAAAGTGAAATGCAAGTTAATATCGACAAGGGGTGCACACATATTGGACAATTCTCTCTTTACTGTTTAAAAGGCGATTAAGAAGAACAAACCAAAGTTAGATTATAAACTTACTTGGTACCAATACTAAAGTTCTGTAAGTAATTTTTATTCAATGGTCGTAGATAAATCATCTTATTTGACAGATCATATTAGAATTTGAAAAAAGGTGCCACCTGTTTTTACTATATTCAAAAAAGTTTGAAAAAATAAACTAAATTGTACCATCTTCCCTTAAGAATAATCAATCAATTTATGCTTCTAGCAGGACCAGGGCTGGTATATCTAAGGGGGGTCGCGACATAGGAGTCCATTTTGGACGCCATTTTTTTGGAAATAGTAGTCACATAGTAGTCGCCATTGATCTGGCAACGTGGCAACTTGTAGTCGCCAGGTTTACCAATATAAGAAAAAAAATCAATGTCATTTTTTAAATGACATTTCTATATGCCCATATTTTTTAGGATAAAATATTTCAATTTAATAAATTATTAATCTCAGATGTACATAGAATACGTCGGGAAAAGTAGATCACTTTCAATTTTGTGCCGTTTTGGTTTTGTTTATTTTAAAAGGTAATTGAAGAGATGAAGACAATTTTCTTATAGATGATGCATAACAAATTATTGCTCCCTTTTTTAGAGCTCCAGTCCCTTAAGTCTATTTATTTTAGGTCTTTTTAAATTGTTGGTAGGTATTATTCACTTCATTTGTATGTTTTTAGTTAATTTAAATAATTTTGTGTAATATCTTGCGATTTGTTTTCTATACATTTTAGCATGTATTTGTTGTCTACATCTCACAAAGGATGGCTTTGAAATACCTTTACAACAGAGCTACTTTCCTAAAACTGGCCGAAATTTGAAACTGAATACAGTTCTTAGAGAAAATCTCCAGTAAAAAATGTCTGCATGCAGAATAACAGTAGCATAGATTAACAAAGCTGACAAAAGAGTTGGACAAACCTTTGTCTAGCTTTTTTAATATTTCAGGACAATAGTGTTAACAGCAGACTACAACAAAAACATCCAAAGTTTAGTAATCAAGCAAAATATTCCGGTATCTCCAGAATTATAAACGTATGAAAACTATAATAGAAAACATGTATGGTTTCGAATAGAAAATTACCAAAATTAGCATATCTAGTGAATATTGTATTTAAAGAATATATTTTTATTCAAAACTTTTGTGCTTCTACTCCAATAATAACCATATAGAAGCATATGCATTTTATAGTATTTACAAGATTCGGATCAAATGTACCCACAATTTATAAAGATTATTAAAATAAAACATTTCAAATAACACCTGCTTTTATGTTAAATATGTTTTTATTAAATACACAAATTAGTCTCAACCACACATTTTTTGTTTGTTTTTACTTCTAGTGTAAAAGTGACTACTAATTCAGTCTTTCAAGTTTATTATTTATAGAGACCAGCTACTACAAAATATCTTATTGATGATAACTAATTTCTCTTTAATAATGGTTTTGCATTTATTAACACTTTACAGCACTTTGTTTATATGAAACATCTATGTAACTCTTAATTAAATCACATTAAATCAAGTAATTACATTTTCATATTCAACTTATGTATTCTTATTAGAACTTGGTCACTTTTTTTTTACTTTGAATCTTTTGACTGTGGTAACAGTCCATTCACCAAACCACAAAGTCACTTAAAAATGTTGAAAGAGAATGTCAGAGGTAAAATTCCTTCTTCTATCATGTTTTTCATGCAATTTTAGGTTGTAAACGTTTTGTCCAACACCTTTTTTACAATTTATCCCAAGCAACACTATGAAAGATTTAAATCCTGGATTTACAGCATTCAGTTTCGAGATGAGTGCAGTCACAATGTAGTTTAAGATATAACTTTCACATGAACACTTATTTACCACAGCACAAACGCATGTACCTATTCATGTAACATTAAAATAAAGTGGAAACAAATTGCATAATTTGGTATATAAAAAAGTACAAAATGTTTTTAGTTTTAATTCGACATTGGACTACGACTACGAGGAAAACAGTGGTTCATTCCACTTGTACCATATTGACATTATTATGCACGATGCTCGTTCAAACGAACATCAGAAAAGTGTTGCCAACTTAAGCTGACTACTATTTCCCCCCTAGCATCAGTCACCCCCTCATCCATTTACTGGGTCTATGTCGCGACCCCCTTAGATATACCAGCCCTGTAGCAGGACAATTTTTTATGTACAACATTTTAAACATTAGGTGTTCAGTTTATTAGTACAAAAATTTGCATCCAACGTGCCTTGGAGTTGGTTACAAAAATTAGCACTCAAAATCTGGCCCCACGTTGGGCGCCAATTTTTTCTGCCTGTTTGAATGATAAATATAAAAGCGTAAATATTAAATCTTAACCGAGATTAAAAATACTTATTGTACGCCCCAGTTTAATCAATTCATTGTTCCAACAGCTCGAGAAACTGATTTTTTGACAGCAAAAAAAATTTGCTGAGAGTTCAGAGATTTAGAAGTGATACCAAGCCGACACATTAAGCCTTCAGCCCTATTCTTAAATGTCTATTTTTAAATGTCATACGCAACATTGATAAATGTCGAATAAGAACGCAAAAACATTCTCGAATAGCGAATTCGACATTTTCTGTTAGACAAAGTCGAGTGATATTTAACTAGTCGACATTGTAATGTCGCATACCTTTTTAAAGATGTTATAATATGAGTGTTGTGACAGTGACAGTGACAGTTTATGTTTATTTTTATCAGAATTGAAAATAAGTATTGTATAAATTATTTTTAAAAATATATGAATTTTTAAAATTTCACCTAATTTATCAATCATAGTCCTGTCTATCCTAGAGTTTTAATTCCTGTTATTAAGACATTTATATAGCCCTATTTTTTCAAATTGCAGGAAAAAGGTTAAATCACAGACCTTCTTCATTCTATTTAATATCTTACCAAATTGCACTTCCAAATTTTCTATTTAATCCCTTATGAAATTTCAGTTAAAAATATTATAATACTTTCTCTATTTTCTAATTAGCATATATATTTGCAGTATGAGATCCTTCAGGAAATTGTGTGCTGTAATATATTCGTCTTGTGTGTTTCTATCTCAAGTTGCCAGATGTTACCATTCGCCAAATATGTCACCAATTTTAAAATGTCGATTTGTCTTTGAGAATACGGATACTGTCAGTCGATCGACATTTTGATACATTATGACGAATGCGACATTTTTAATAGACATTCGAGAATAGGGCCTCAGGGCTGCCAAGCTCAGATGGATTGGGATGATAGCAGGGAAGGGGGTTCGAAGAGTGAATAAAAAATGATACCAAATCAGAATCAGAGATATGTGTGGAGTTTGTTAGAACGTCTAAATTATGACTGCGCATATTCCTAACGATCACGGCCGATTTTCTACTGCTGTAGGAGTAAACCTATTACACGATTATTAAATAATATACGATTAGTTCAAAGTTACCTTACTTGACCTTCACACCCGCCGCTGATCAGGCGTTTCCCGTCTTTGGTACAGGCGATTGCGGAAATTCCTTTATTGTGGGCATTTAAGATGGCGTAGATTAATCTTCCTGTCAAAGGAGTGAATGAGCGAATGATACCGTCGCTCCAACCCGTCAAAAGCGACTTGCCATCGTAAGCGAATACCAAGCTTGAGCAATTGAAGTTTTGGCACTGAATTCGAAGGAGTTCGCCCATGGTGGCCATCGACCATAAACGCACGTCGTGCTTGCCGGCCGTAGCGAATACTTCGGAAAAGTTACTGCAAAAAATTAATCAATTATCTAATCCGCATGGTTCATTGTAATTGACATTTTTAATACTAAATAACACCTCGTGAGAGGAATCTTACTATGGAAATGCAACATCATATATCGATGACGTGTGACAGGTGATAACCAGCTCAGCGACGAATTGCTTCATCCTAATCAAATAAATTTCCGATTTGACGGTACCGACCAAAATAGTAGTATGGTCTCCTAGTATCTGGATTGCAGACACGCTACTGTTGACATAGGTACTCTTGAGCACCCTCAACGCGGGCATCGAAGGCATCTTTAGATTTTCTTCGGGATTAATGAGCTTGATGTGTTCTTCGACCATTTCTACTGTACCATCTCCGGCACCAATAAGTATCGGACCTTCGTACAATAATTTGACCGATCTAATTCCTAAAATACAATGGAATGTAAAAGTTTAATTAGCTCCGGGTTGAATTCAAAGAGCCTTGCATAAGTATGATACTCACCATTCCCGTATAAATCGACTTTACCGCGTTCAAGTTGTTTTTTGGATAATTTCGCCCAGTAACCTATAACTAATGGATTTTTGACAGGATCCAACACGTCAGGATCATGGTGAAAATGTAATCTAACTTTCATCAAATCGCCAGTGCTTGTACCGCAATAAGCAACCTGAAAAGGTTTAGCTTTGACTTTTAATGTACCAGAACATTCCAATTTTACACAAATAAAAAAATAGAATAAGAATAAGAATAATTTAACACTATTTTACCTATAAGCTTCAATCTCTAGATATTACCTAAAATTTGTTATTTAAAAGATAACTTGTATATCAAAGTTCTTTTTAATAAGAGTGTGAAACATGTAATAGAAACTATAGACTATTTAGGTTAAATGTAACAAGTAAAATAAAATTACTACTTAAATGGCTGCTTAGACTAGGTTAAAGAGAGGACGCATAACAAGTATATGGAGCACACGTAGTATTCTGTGCCGATTATCTATTGGCCGCCATTATTTTGGTGCTAATCATTTCGGTGACACCAAAGTTTTTGTTCGTATTTATTTCTGATTTTTGGTTTATTACAATGGTTTATTGTGTAGCATATCAGTGTAAAAGTTACAGCGGCAAGAAAGAAGCAGATATTACGTTTTACAGGTAAATGATAAACATCAATCGTTTTTACCTTATATATTTTCTTATATTTTTCATTTTATTTGGTGTTATACAACTTGGTATTTACATATTGAACATGTCTCACTCCAGAGTAATAAATTTTACCCACCAAGTTTGTTTATTTTATGCTTTTCATTGATATTTAAGCAATTAATGATATTAAAATGACCAAACAAGTAATTTTTTCCAGTGGCGTGTCGTACAATTCTAAATATTAACTTTTATTAAATTCTAATTTACTTTTGCTTTTTATTTAATTGCAGCAATGTTTATTTGTTTTATTTTAGATTTCCTGTGGATCCAGCAAAAAAATCTTCAGGATTCAGGCAACGAAAATTGCAAATTGGATGCCTACGCCAAATGATAGATTGTGTTCAAAACATTTTGAAAGACATTTTTTTGTAGGATGGACTGTAAAAGACGTTTACTAAATGTATCAGTTCCAACTATATTTCCTGAATTCCCTAAATACATGCAGCCGAAGAAGGTGCGTATATTAATAAACATAATTAAACATAAATACTTTTTTAATTACTTTTCATTTTTATGCTATGACCTTTTAAGAATTTAGCAACCCTTTTGTGTATAATTCAAAACATTACCGTAATAATTGATTGTTTCCCACACATCACAAATAGGTCCATTGGACGACCATTCTATATACAATTTTGGATGTCTGGACGTCCAAAGATGAGTTTTTTGTGGACTTTCGACGTCCAATGGACGTCCAGTGAAGTATACAAATAAATGGCACACTTTTGACCGTTCATAGGACGTCCAATTCTGGATTATATTTAGACTTCAATACTGGACATTCAAAGAACGTCCATTCCTGGATTATACAGGGTGTAACTAAATAAGTGTAAAACATTTAAGGGGGTGATTCTTCATCGAAAAAAAGATAGGATCTTTCATATAAAGAAGCTTCATTGGAGCATCCCTTGTTAAGATACAGCCCCTTAAAGGGGGTACATAAAATTGTTTAACAATTGTTTTCACAAGCACTAAACAAGTAACAGACGTACACTGGATGTCCGAATACAGATGTGGACGTTCTGGCCCTCAAATGGATCTAAAGTGGACGTCCATTGGACTATGTGTGTTGTCTGGGTTGTAGGACTTAAAAAGAAGAGCATTGCATTTGGAAGCTGAGACAGGTCCTTCAAATAGAACTGCAAATAAGGAATCCATCCTAGAAAGCCCTAGAAAACGGCTTAGGATAAAACTTTTACAACAGGTAAAAAAGAATAAAGAGAAAAACAAGACAAATCAAAGTTCTTAAACAAAAACTTCAAAGATATAAAAAAAGAATTGTTTCGCTAAAACTTCTTGTTATTATACCAAATTAGTATTATTTAAGGGTCAATAATAAATTTATTTTCATTTATGTATAATTTTTCTTACTAGCTTAATTTAGTACCCAGATACATCTTAAAGACGTCCAGTTCATGTCTTACTTTCGTCCAAACGTAAAACGTATTTGTTGGGATGTTTTTAGGACGTTTTAAATATGTCGGTAATGTGGACATTCAACTCTTTTCGCTATATTTGAATATGGCGCCACGACACCGTTCTTGGCGCTGCCTGCAGCGAATGTATGAGCGTCATTCGTCATTGTCATTGGCTGATTGGATAGTCTCTCGCGCGCGTGTCGAGTAGTGTTTTTCCTCTGGCTGCCTTCTTTTTGGGACAGCCATTGTATAATATTTTTAGTATCAGTCTGTGGATATTGGCATTACTTTTTCGTGGTTGTGTGTTTTTATATATTGTCTTTTTATATTATTTATTTCCCATTATTGGAACTTATGTATACCGGAACTAGTAAACTTTATCATTAAAAACGGTAAGTTTTAATTTATTTGCCTTTTAATTTCATAACCTCACTTTTTAATGTCTTATTTTTTAGTAAAACGCCTTAAAATAATAATTCAACCAAATTTTATGCTACGCTGACATTAGTTGCAGAAACTTTGGCAAAAATTAATACCATAAAAGAAGTTTTTAAATTGACCAAACTGGAAAATAGTAGGATTTCCGGGAATAGTTTCTCATAGCAACAAGTACTTGAAGTCATTTTCTAATTATTTTATACAACACTGTAAAATAATATTTACTCTGTGTCAGTTTTAATAGTTTAATAATGTATAATAAATAGTATTAAATATAGTAGAATTTTTAAAGAAAAGGAGAACAATAGTGATTCTGAAAGTTCAGTGTCTATTTCATTATGCTCAGATGAGGATGTTTCTGAAGAAGAAACCATACAAAAATTTGAAGATATAGAACAAATCGAGAGAGATCCTTTAGTGGGGGAGTTTGTTTTAGTGAAATTTTTAAGAAACAACAAAAATATTTATTGTGTTGCTAAGGTTCTCAAAAAAAGTGGGAAAGCAGAAGTTGAAGTTTCCTTTTACAGGACAAGTCTCAAAAAAACAATTGCTTTGTCCAACCTTTGGTAGAAGATATCTCGGTAATTCTTTCCAAAGACATAAAAATGATACAGTATAACTTCGATAGTTTGGACAGTCGCTAGACCGGACACTTCAGTAATCCGGGCACTGCCCTGATTCGGACATTTTGACAATTTTGCCTCTGAAATCCGGGCACAAAAATATTCATATGCAAATATGTACTAGAATTTTCCGGTCTAAACAAGTGTTAGAAACGGCGCAGCGGCGGCCTCGTCTCTTCAACTTACTTTCCGCATTTGGTTTTTAAGCATGCCGGACGCAATGGCTCCAATAAAACGACTACATAAGACACTTACACTGACAGAAAAATCCAAAATATTAGATTGCCTTGATGCAGGAAAAAGTACACGTCGAATTGCAGAGCAGTTTGGTATTCCAAAATCTACAGTGTTTGATATAAAAAAAAACAAGGATAAAATAAGGACCTTTATTTCAAAATCATTTCAAGGGTCAGGTAGGAATACCAATAAGTTCGTATCTAATATTTTATTAATTCAATTCTTCCTTCTATTTTTGTAGGCAAAAGGAGAATCATTTGGTAAGCAGAACATCCTGAACTTGAAGTCGCATTGTACAACTGGTTTCTACAACAACGAAACGCGCACATACCTGTTTCATCAGAAATATTACGTACCAAAGCTAAACAGTTTTATGAAAAATAACAGGAAAAAATGATTTTTTAGCAAGTTCTGGATGGTTAGATAAATTCAAGCTAAGGCACGGAATCCGTTTTTTGAAGGTGTGGGGCGAAAAACTTTCCAGTTATGTTGCCGCCGTAATACCATTTCAGGAAAAATTTAGAGCTCTAGTTGAAGAGATGCAATTAAGCAACGAGCAAGTATACAATGCTGATGAGTCGGAAATTTTTTGGAGAACTCTACCTGATACCACTTGGGTCCATCAAGATGAAAAATCGGCATCAGGTCGAAAAATTTCGAAAGACCGTTTAACATTTATGCCGTGCTGCAACGCAGCGGGATCGCATAAGTTACCACTGTTGGTCTTAGGAAAAGCGAAGCGAGTTTGTTGTTGATTTAACTGAAGAACAGCTTATCCAGGATGCAGTAGGGAGCAATATTGCAAATACAAATGAATCTTCTGAATCAGAAGGTGATGTAAATATGGAGAAGGTGAAACATGCAGATGCTGTCAAAGCGTTTTCACTAGCTCTCAGGTGGACTGAGGAGAATAATCTTCCCCTTGAAGATGTATTGCTTTTGAGAAGGCTCAAAAACAAAGCAACTAATGTAGATGCATCGAAAAAGGTCCAAACTACAATTAATAAGTTTTTTTCAAAAAATTAGAAGATATGCAAATTGCATATTTTACTTAGGAATTGTGTACACTTTTGTTTTAGGTATTTTTTGAGAAGTATTGTTTTTTTTTTGTTTTATTTTATGAGAAGTGTAATTTTTTTTGGTTGTAATTAATAAACCTTATTTTTGATCATTTTTAAGTTGTTTTATTTCATAAATTTAAATTACTCCAGTAATCCGAACGCCTCAATAGTCCGGACATGCCCCGGAACGATATCTGCCCGGACTACTGAAGTTATACTGTACTTCCAAAACCCGTTCAAAGGGGACAAACAAAACGGCAGCAAGGTTTTCTCTATTTCGGTATAAATTTTTATTCCATCGACCTTCGTTAGTAGGTTTCTGATCTCTTACTCTTGTTTGCTGGAATAATATATGTTTTACCTATTTTAGAAGTGTTATACACTTTGTCTTTATTTTATATTTTGAAATTTTGTATTTCTTATATTTTATTTGTTTCAGTTGTATTAATATGAAAGCAAAATACACTTTGTATAAAAAAAATAAAGTCCTTTGAAGATATTAGCAATCTGCTCATGATTTTTCTATAGGCTGAATGTACCCCATCCTTTGACCAACTACCCCATCGGTGGGGATCATTCGGCCATATGCATAGTTTAGAAATAAATATTATAAGAAAAAAAAAAAAACGATCAGTAATCAGGTTGTCATGTGGTATAATTATGAACACATATACAGGGTGTTTCA